TCTACTATAATAACTCATATCGTCTTAGCCGTCTGTGAAACATGTTCCCTTTTTACTTTTCTTTTTGTCACGTTGCCTGTTCTACCTGTCAAATTTATTTTGTTCATATAATTTAAACACGTTATTTTTCTATTTTTCTAAATTAATAATTAAATTCATGTTTAGTAATTTAAGTATTATGTATTAATTTGTGTTTATGTTTTTTTCAGATAAACACTGCACTGTATTCTAGTCTTAATTTACTCAGCAGTGACCGACGGGTATAGTCGTCGAGGGCGATTGTGTGGCAGTGGTGAGCGACGACTATAGTCGCAAAAAAATTCATATGAAATACCTGGACCATTTCGTGAAGTCGTAGAATTTTTACGAGTAGTCGGATTCTCCAACTTCGTTATGGAATATCTTTTAGTTCACGAGAAAATACAATAAAAGAAAAAAAAATAAATAAATATGAAATTTTAGAGGGTGAGCTATCGACATAAATCGAATTTAAACCTCCCGCCATCAACTGATTCGTTAAAAAATTTAATACAGTAGCACGTCGATTATCCGACCCTTGATTAACCGACCGTCCTAGTCAGAAAATTTCAAATGTCCGCTAGTGATGTGGCGCTACAATATTTGGCTCTGTTTTGGCTACTTTAATATTATTTTACGTGTTTCAGTGGCAACACTCATTCAACCATGTAAGGGAGCCAGTATTTAAACGAGGTTTAATTTTCTAATTTTTAACGATACAATAGCGATGATTATTATTTTAAAAAATTTTTGTTAGGCTTAACATCGATAAAAATCCAACGCAAAGTAGGTTAATAGCGATATACTAATATACTAATTACATGGGATATAATAATATACTACACTAATAATGGATTTTTTTCATACTTTTCAATTATCCGACCAACCCCAGTCCCCAATTGAGTCGGATAATCGATGCTCTACTGTAGTATGTTTTTTTCTAAGACTAAATCACAATGATGACGACTAACAATCTTAACCTTTTTAAGTTTTGATAAAGAAATTGTTGTGATCAAAGTGAAAAGGATGTGGAATTTATTAACTTGTTCACTTGTTGTTACTCAACTTGCTTCACATGTTTTACTTCAAATATTACTTACCCGTGATTATAAAAAATGTAAAAGAATTGCTTGAATAAAAGTAACATTGCTTTATAAAAAACTGAGTTTGTAAATTATTAAAATTTTTAAAAATTAATAACGAAAATAGAAATAAACCTAAAGCACTGTAATGTCTTTTTGATTTTATATACAAAAGGACAAATAACAGTCACAAATTAAACTTTTTATTCAACTGCTGAGCAGACAATAGTAGACTTCGTTATACCTTCTTTCCTATGTTTAACTTTGAAATTCATATTTTTCTTGATTTCTGCCGGAAACTTGTGAAAGCGAATTTTCTGTTCATTATAATAATCTCCCTGTTTAAATTTACACTGGGGAAAAGAGCAACATCGTCCCATTGTTTTAATACAAAGTTAAAATATATCTACATGCGTTATCCTCGATTCGTAGCCATGTTTACATTTCACTAGCGCCACCAAAAAGTTGCATAAATGTTAACTACGGTACAGCAGAATTCCTTAATGTATTTTCGGAATGCTGAGCAGTGGGTGAAATCAACCTACTGACATAAGGAATCTGGAATAGAATCAGCTCCAAATCACCATAATTTGTCCTAAATAATACAGATCTTGGCATCGTTCCTACCCTTCATTCATGATCCGCTCTCATATCAGACTCATCCTAAATAAACGAAATACAGCCGACCAAACACTGTACTGTATTTCTAAATGCAAAATTTTGGCATCTCTACGTAAATTATCTACTTACATCTATTGTACAATAAAAATTTTTGAATGGGCAGAATGATTGGTTTTACTTTATGGTTTGAAATTTTATTTATTAAAAATCTTTTAAATAATTAAATACTTCGTTGTTCCTTGAAATCTTATTCGAGTCGCATCACATCACGCTTCGTTCAATTGTGGAAAATAAATTATAGCCAAATTGTTACGCTATTATTTTCGACTCGAAAAATTATAATGTGCGATATCTTATGATCAAAATTTTTTCTAAATTATAGTATTTACAGCTTTAGCATTTGTCATTATCCAATGATAACGTTGCTCGTTCTAGTGTCAAATTTTCGTATTTTTTCCTGCGCTATAGCTTTACAGTTTCATTCTAAATCAACGTTATTGATCAGGTGGTCACGCAGAATTCTAAATCCTCTTTAGGTACTCAGGTTCAAATTTGATCTGCATTTTCGCAAAATTTTACGGTTGCTTCGTTTCCTACTCTATTCTCGCTGTGCGATCTCACTGCCGGTCACAAAATCGAANAAATGACTTCTAAATAAAATAATAATACTTAAAGTAGGATAATATATATTGTCATGGGTCTCAGGTGTATTCAAAAAAATTAATAATCGATATAATAATATTTTGTCACATGCTTCACGCGTTAAAGTTTGTAGCTGTAATTGAAGGTAATGTATAAGGAAACAAAATGTTTATATTATCAATAGAAGCCAGAAGAAACAGACGATCACAGATACGACTATCAAGGATTCGACAGATAATTAAGGAAATTAGAAAGATCGCCCATAACGTTAATATCTCCTTTCTTAAAAGGACTAAAAGGAGCTCATATCACGAGCCCAAGTGTATCCAGGTTGTTTGGGTTCGCAAAAACGCATAAAAACAACAAAGAAATTAGGCCTGTTATAGTGAAATGTAAAAAACTAACCTATAAGCAGGAAAAACGTATGCATAAGTACTTGTCGAAGCTAATTGAAGACTACCAATTTGTTACAAAAACACGTTTAACTTGGTAAATGATCTGCATGAGCTATCGTCAATGGATAACGAAGTTGAATCATTTATGGACTTCGACAGCATGTATCCATCGATAAATCTTACTTCATGTTTTGATACACTAGTAGACCTATTATGTGAGTTACATCTGAATGCATCCGCGTATCGCAAAGACCAAGATATGATTGCAGATTTTGTATGCTTTCAATCATTTTTCGGTTTCGAAAGTAAAATTTTCAAGAATTAAAGGGAGTCCCGTTAGCCAGCCCAATATCTGGCTTGCTCTGAGAGTTGGTTGTAAGAAAAATGGAACACATCACACATTATGAACTTTAAAGAGGACAATCTTGTACAAAAGATATGTAAATGATGTGTTCATCATATGGAAGAACGATACAAAAATACACCAATTCTTGAAGCAAATGAATTTCGACCAACATAGTATAAAACTGAACCTAGAACAGATTAGTAACAACGAATTACACTTCTTGGACATTGATATTGCATTTCGGAACGGATCACTATACACAAAAGTGTATATCAAACCTACTCCTGAGCCGTTATATATACCATCGACATCTAATGATCCTACTGCATATAAACTCTCAGCCTTTAGGGCTCTGATCAGAAGAGCGTTTCAGTATTTTTCAAACATGATAAATACAATAGAGGAAGCAAATAGAATTCAAGAAGTAAAGAAAGTCTTGGGATTTGGAGTAAGAAAGGTTGAACGCCTCATTGCCCCATACAACGATCCTATAAAGGGCAAAAATAAATATCTAATTGGTTCACACGTTATATAAATAACGCTTTTGTTAACATTAGATATTAATTACAATATGTTTTAAAAAAAAAGTTCATATAGTTATATATTTTAAAAATAGTAATAATATTTACTCTATCAAGGATCTTATACATCTCAGATTCGTTGGAACATTTGGCTATTATATTTATATCATACTTTTGACTCATCTCATTTACTTTAAAACATTCACAGAATATATGGAATTTAGATAATGATTTATTACATCTTGGGCATATGATTTGAGAGTATCCAGAAACTTATCATTGAAAATAATCTCATTTTTATTTAGTCTGAGTTGTATGAAGAATTTTTTGACATTAAATGCCAGCTTCGTGAACATATGATTATTATTCATAATAATCCCATCTTATACACGTTGTCCAGAAATGACTAAGAAAAAATTAATGAGAAAGAACAACCAAAAGTGTAGGCAATAGTTACAAGAACGACCGATTGGGAATAGACAAAGAATATATAGGAGTCACAAACCTTAAGATAAAGGTGAAAGAGCATAAGTACAACGTATCAATAAGCCAATATACAACACCGTTATCAAAAATATCGCAGACTGATGAATCCATAGTTAAATGGGAAGAGGCCAGAATCATTGCAAATGGGCACTCGCCAACGCTTGCATCCACAACAGAGAAGTATGAGATAGCTTAACGGAAAAATGTTTAAACTATAAGGATGCAACCATTTTACAGTCGGCATGGAAATATATAATCAGAAACAACTCGTAAGATGATACATCCAACAGGCTTAAATTAATAAAAACTTGAGTTAGTATAAAAAATTTTTACATATTGTATTGTGGGGAATTACCGTATTTTTTATTTTATTTTTATGTTATTTGGTTTATTCTTGTTTATTGTATTAAATTTGTTATGCATGTTTACTTAATTTGATTTCAATATACTGCACACGTTTCAATATATTTTAAATTTGAACGTGTTATTCGATAAACCATTAATTCGAACGTCTTTAACCTGATGATGACCCATGGGATGTGTTGAAAACGATTGTTTAGCAGAATAAATGAACTTTCTCAGTATTAAGGTGTGTTGACTTTATAAAGTTCTGTTAATAACAAAGCAAAAGTGCCATTTTAATAATTTTAATTTCCAGTCTTAGATTTTTCGTGCAAAGTTACATCTACCAGACTTCTTTCTGGCCATGTAAATATTTTCCATTACTTTTTGTAAATTACAAAAGACATATTTATTGTGTATTTATATAGAGAGATAGATGAATAGATACATTTAGTGCAAATTAGATAAATAATTACTTCTGTTCATAAAATATAATTTTGTCAATTGACACTTTCATATACATAGATATGCAGAAAGTTCACGAGAAAATTATATAAAAGTAGTAATCATGCACAATCCCTATTAAGTGACATAACAACAATTGTTTTCAAATATTAATTTTCTTTGAATAAATGAAAATAAAATATTATCAACTTTTTCACTTCTGGTGTACTCTAAGTTTGCACAAACAGAAACTTCGATACTTTCTTGCTTTAATTCGAGATACGCACTTTCTCCCGCAGTGTACAATAACCTCCATGAAGAAAACTGTTATTGAAATTACATATCCAGCAATTAGTATATAAATAGAGCCTATAATATGCTCTACTTTTAGTTTATCTTCCTCTTCTATCTCTACAGTTTCGTAGAATTCTCTTTGTCTTCGAACATCTTCCTGTGAATCTCGAAGTAGTTTCTCAGCGATTCCAGATTGCTGAATGATGGTAGTCCTATAAATATAATATACATAATATCTAAAGTTATTTAGAAGTAACACTCAGAGGATTCTTTCATGCACAGCAGGTATCAGGTCATATCAGAGGGAAATGAAGTTTACAGTGTACAGTACATTGTCATTACCAACAAGGCATAACGAACACTTAATTACGATAAATTAGTATTAAATGTGTAACATAAAAAACTGTGGTGTTTAATGATTTTATTAAAATACAACACATGCAGTACTGCTAATTGGACATATATACGTGCTATGCATGAAGTTACCTCTAGTGCGTTACTTTTGAACAATCCTGTATAACTTGGTTTCCTATATTAAAATATTCTCTGTACTTACATCCGTCGGAATTCAAAGATATACGGAAAGTACTCTCTCATGCAAATAAAATGAAATTCTGTGTTCAAAATATCTGAAGATATGAAAAATTTACTTCTTCCGAATTCTTCAATTCCCAGTTGAATATCGTTATTGCATGAAATCAGGCAGCCATTATCATTCAAAACATGCTCCAATCCATGCGATACGTTTTGTATGTTTGCCAAGCTGTATTCACTGATGTATTCTCTGATATCTTCTAGAATTTCATTTGGTTGTTGTTTCCAGACTAAACTCTATTATTTGAAAATTATACTAAGCTATATTAAAATTTATAGCTATATAAAAAATACAGAGCATTTACGATAAAGATATTCCTGCTTAGAGATGACTAGTGCTCATTCTAAAGCCTGTAGTGTAATTTAGACTTGAGATATTCTAGAACACGGAAATGACAGTTATTTAGAAAACAGTTTCAAATTGTATAACCTCTGCCATTACTCATTGCAGCAGTTTTTATTAGAAGAACAACATCATCAACAGAAAAAACTAACATGTCAGATGAGATAAAGAACAGATACCATTTATGAATGCACTTCTTTGAATTTACCAAATTACAAGAATCCCTTGAAAACACACGCATCTTCAGAAAGCTCTAGTATTATGAATCAGATAGACAGGGCCGGCCTGTTCATATAGCAGAACTGGGCGATGGCCTACGGCGCCTGAATTTGGGGCGGTATGGTGAAAGTACATGCATAAATTACAATAAATAACGAAAAAATAAATGTGTTTTGATCACAATCCTTTTGCACGTGTAGACCTGCGAGTTGCCATTTTAAAAGTAGCGCTGCAATCTCACGATTGCGATATTTCGTGCTGCATATTAAATTGTGATTGACAGTCTTTAATTTTTTTAAAGGGGGCGACGTCAAAGACATTTGCCTAGGGAGCTGAGTTTGCTCGGGCCGGCAGTGTAGATAGTAAGATCAGGTAATAATAGCAGCCAAGATGTTTCAATGTTGCATTTGAAATGAGGTTCTTCCAATGGAAACTGCTACCTCTTGTAATAGAGATTAAACGTTACGAATGCATTGGGGAATGCAATGTGTAACTACGCTGGTTAGTAATATATGTTGCAGTTAGTTTTCGAAATAAATGTCATTTACGTGTATCTGAAATTTCAGTACTCTGGACTATATGCATGTCGAGGATCCTGACAATTTTTAAGTAGGAATTAACTAATTAGAATAGCCCTGCGTAATCAGTATCGTATTCTTATTTGTCTATATTTCACTTACCCAGAGTGAGACATATTGCAAGGAAAAAGTTATAACACCCAAATAGTATTTTTCATCCGAAGACACAGCTAATAATTCTTTAAAAGTTTGAGGAATTTTCTCTTCTCCAGGAAAAATCATATATGATGGAAGTATGCCAAGATATCCAGAAGTCAAAACGAAAGCCATCATCATCCAAATGCCGAAAGTGATACGTAATGTATTCAAATAAACTGAATCAATATCAACATCTGTAAATAATTTCATTAATAAAATATATTATAATTTAATGTATTAATAAAAGTATTTGAAATGTAAGAGAAGTAGAGAATCGCTGAAAAGTTTGAACACTTGTAATGGAATTAATATTAATAATATTTTTATTAATACAACTTAATGTTTTTACAAGCAGAATTGGAAATATTTAAATCATAGCGACCAAACAAAAGTTATGAAATTTATACATGCGATTGCAGGGTCGGTACCTCCTTGGAGCTTTGTCAGACTGACACCACTGTGTCTTTTAGGACAGACACAGAAACCGAGTTGATCGCAAATTTCGTTTCGCGAGTGGTCGCGCTTTTAGGCTTCCGGATTCCGAATAGAAGGGGAAGGAGACTACCAGAAGAAGTACACTCCACAAGTTATCATTTAACAAAAAATACCTGTTTATTAATAGCTCTTATTCAAATTTCAGAAGCTTAGCATAATGGCTACGAAAAATTTAATACAGGTGCTTAGCACAATTGCTAAAAAAAGAGGGAAAAACTTATCGCGACTCTGACGAAGAGAGAACTCACAGTAAGTTCGCAATATGTTAATACCTTAAAATACTCGTAAGTCACTCGTTGGTTCCGGGTGACACATTTAACGTGTCACCATGAACTTACAAAGAATACAAGGAAATAAGTCTGTGAAATATAGTTTAATTATCTTCTATGATTTTTTCTCTTGATAAATTTTTTAAGTAAAATTTTTCGTCACGCCCAGGCTCATATACAATATCGACATGCTTATATTTCATTCCGAAATATAAGCATGACGAAATATAAGCATGATGATGATAATAATCAAATTTTTACCAGGTATGAAATCGTTTAAATAGGAAAGATGCATGCATGAAGGAAATAAGGTCTGTCTCAAAGATTTATTTAAATTAATTTTTTTTCAATAACTTTTAGAATACTGAACTTTTGATTGATGTTATAAATGAAATGAGTTCACAATACATCACATTAACAATCACTAACAAGAAAATTTTAACAATTTAACAGATATTAAGATTCTTAGAAAAATAAAATTTTTTTTTTAAACATTGTTGTTGCAAAAGTTCAGATGAATTTGAAAAATTTCATCGAAAAAAAATTTTTAACGGTTAATTGTGCTTTTGTTTTTATTTCACTCGATTTAGCATTGAATTTACAAGCGTTTGTAACAATTCTGGTTTCGAGTTATACCATTAATTATCAATTGCATATTTAAGTTTTGTAACATTGAAAAACTGAGAACCACTTTTAGCCACGATCCCCTATATGTTTTCTATAGAGTTTTGGTCAGAACTTCTTGCAGGCCATTTCACAGCATTCACATTTTGACTCCGAAGCCAGTTTTTGGTTGTATTTGTACCATGAATAAAAGCGTTGTTCTAAAGTTGTCTTGAAAACTTTCTGACGTCCAGAAAGAAATGCTAGACTGGAAATTCTGTTGAATCCAAATGCCTCAACACCATTACCATTAGAGAGCCACCACCTTGTTTTCTGCTGTAAAACATTCGGTTTTATTATTTTACGTCATGCCAATAGTAATTTTTGCCATCAGCATTATCTGAGTTTTACTTTTTCTCATTACTGAAAAGTTTTCTTATCCGTTCATATTTCTACTGCGTGTAGTTTTTTGCCTATTCCAAACCTCCTTTAAGATGTTTTGGTTTGAGATGTGTTTTACACATTCTTGTTAGTTTAATATAAGAATTTTTACTTAAATTTTTATGCACAGCATTTTTAGAAATATTTAAGTTAGACTCTCTTAAAACTTGTCTAACTAAAAAATTTTGTCTAGATAATAGTCTAATTATACAATTTTTACCTGTGGGTTATGTTAGTTTAGGTCGACCTAAACGGGATGCAGGTTTAAAATTTTCCTTTTTTGAACAAACTTTATATATTTCTGAAGCCGAAAAACCTATTTTGCTTAAAATTTCAGTAACTAAATTTGCACTTGCTTTCAATTTCCAAATTTTTGTCACTTCGTATGATGAAAACTAATTTACTTTGGATGTATTAATTTTTCTGTTATTTGTTTTTTAATTTAAAAAATAACCGTTATAAAAACTAGATTTTACGATATTTTATTGTTAATACCAATAAGTGATGTCATTCATTAAAGAATATGTGCAATAATTTTCTTAAGAAATAACTAAAATAATATTATAACGTAAACTTTTGGGACAGCAACATCTAACAAAATTTCTATAATTCTATGTAATTTAATAACTGTTAAATTTTTAAATTTATCATTTTAATATTTATTATGATGCATTATGATTTCATTTGTCTTGTTAGATAAATCGAAAGTTTATTATTTTAAATCTTTGTCATGAAAAATCCTTTTACTTAAACTTTTGTGACAGATCCTAGGTGACTTTTGATATTTTTATCAATTATTTTGAAAAAAAAACATTTAGTATTATCTACTATTTTGATTCTTATTCCTTTATATGTTATCGCGCTGTTATTTAATAGAAATTTTATAGTAAGTAATTTGACATAATATTTCAGGATAGATAGATAATAAATAAGTTCTTGGGGTCGAAGGAAATGGTATTGGCTATGAAATTAGTATAGTTTTTCTTTTTTAAGTATGAGACCTCTTGTAACCAATAGAATATCACTAATCACTTCCGGACAGTTGATGTTCAATTTGAAATGAATTTGTGTTGAGGAAACACTATTCATATTCAAAAGAGAATCCCAATGGGTTAATTAAGTAATTTACTGAAATAGGCCAATTATTCATAAAAGTTGTTTTGTTGATTTACAGAGATAATTTTATAATATATCGGTTTTCTGTGATCTTCAGTAAATAATTCAATTCATTTCTTCCAAAATCGAAATAAGATTAGTAGGAGAGTTAATGGAAAAGTGTTCTAGTTATTTCATGTCTAATCAGCGGTTTAGGAACTGAAAGATTTAGATGATAAATGCGTTTAACTGGGAATGCATTTGTTTTGAGAAATTACTTAATAAAATTGAAAATTATAATTTTAATCTCAGTCATTATATGTTTAAAGTAAAATGAATGAGAAAAGTTAAGTAAAGTAGACTTTACTTAAGTAAAGTCTACTTTACTTAACTTTACAATTTAGTTAAGTAAAGTAAAGTTAAGTAAAGTAGACTTTACTTAACTTTACAATTTAGTGCCTTCCAAACAATACTACTCTCATTTTCGTAGCTTTTCTTCTCTACTGAAACCATGATTTTTGTTTTTTCTAAATTTACTATTAGTTGGTTAATCTGACAATATTCCACAATGAATTTATTCTTATTAAAATAGTGGAAACAAAAGATGACATTAAAAGTATATCATCTTCATATAAAAGACGTACAGAAATATATTCATTGGTGATTTCCACGAAGAAAAATAATGCTATGCTACACATTACACTGCTTGTATAAACTCTGAATTATCATTTACAAAAAGCTACTTAAAAACTACACCAATGTAATAAGTCTTATTATTTAATAAACAAGTTCCAAGTAGACAGTATAAACACAGTAATGTAAAGATGTAAGGACATAGAAGTAAAAAATAATAATTGGCTACTTGTACTTTCAGCGCATCAATTATGCTGAAATTCTCTATCCAACTGTCTGAATAACAATGAAATATAAATTATATTACAATATTCAATTGTAACTAATTAATGTTAAATCACTTTTGAAATTTGCTCTATACTGTTTGTGACATGATGTCTACAATAACATCGTTGTCTGAAAAATACCATTTAATAATAATATGGACAAACACACCGACATAATGTTCATTGGTAAAACTAGTTGAAAATACATTTAAATTTCTGTTATGCAATACTTCAAACTTGTGGAATTCATTTAATTTTCACTAAAGGTATCTCATACACTATGTAGCGGAGTTATGCTATGCATATTATACGTACCTTGACGTAACAAACATCGTAATATCGTCCAAAATATTGATGTAAAACGCAATGGCTTCTTATGACAAATTCTTGCTTCCACTTTGAAAATGACAAACGATAATGATAACAGCAATGGAATGGTTGCACTAATGAAAATCCAGAGCTAAAGTAAAAATAATTAAAATTTACGTATGAGTGTAATATACAAAAGTTTTTCATTCATAACAATACAAGAAATACTCACTAAACCTTGGAAAGGTTTCAGAAGAGCAACAGATTTTTCGAGTGGCTGCGCTGCCTTGATGACAAATATGGGTGAAACTTCTGTAATTGCTGGAGATAAATAATAATTCCAAGCATAAGGTTGTCGACGACAAGGAAGAGCAATAGGTGCCTAATTTATAAAAATTGAATAGAACTTTAATATCAAGTATACTTAATTCGTATTTTATAAATACAATAAAGCATCACATACCGCATGTGTGGAATCTACTGTTTCAATTCTGTGAATGACCAATTTTGTAAACATTATATATTATCTGATATTGACATTAACTTTATATAATATATTAACTAAACTAACTTAAAACCATAAAGTTCTTGTAAAAGTTTAAAATATTTCACCAAAAGTGAGGTGTCTCGAAGTAAAATATTGTAATCTTCATCAAATTCGAAAACACTTGCGTCCTACAAAATATTTAATAAATTTTGTTATAAGGTTAATTTTGAAATTGTTTATCAAGTGTGGAAACTTAACAAAGAATATATTTTTATGTTGTTTTTGAAACCGTGTTTTCCAAATATTGTGGACTTCGAACTAGAGTGAGAGTTATAAATAATGATGAAAATGAAGCCGAGAGTTTATTTATAACTTTCATTCGAGTTCGAAGTCCAATATATGTTTTGTTTATATATCTAATATATAATCGAGACAAGTTGATAATAATGATAATAATAATAATAAGCGCAGAGCCGAAACGGTTAGGAGTTGAAAGTTGAAATTTGGTACACAGTTAGGGTACGTTAGGATAACGCACACTAAGAAGGAATTTTTCGAAATTCTTAATCCTGTTCCTCTCCCCCGAGGAGAGGAACAGGATTAAGTCTTAGCACTTCCATCAACAATGGAAGTGTTAAGTAACAATGGAAGTGCTAAGTAACAATGGAAGTGTTAAGTAACAATGGAAGTTTTCAGTAACAATAAAAATTTTAAGTAACAATGGAAGTGTCAACAATGGAAATGTTACGTAACAAGGGAATTGTTAAGAGAAAGCGACGTGCAATACGCATATGCATTTTTTTTCGTTTTTGCAGAAAATCAAACATATTTTTAGACCCATCTAAAAATTCTCTAATTAGTCTGGAAACAAGGGGACCCAATTCTTGCATTCTGTGAAAACGGGTAAGGTTGACTGTAACGTAATAACCTTTATTTTAGTTATCGTTACTTTTGCCCGAGCAACGCCGGGCCTACCTGCTAGTATATATATAATTGAAATGGGTTGATAATGATGATGACGATAATAATAATAATGATAATGATAATAATAACAGTTACTCATATATTCAGTCATTCTACGGCAAGCACACAAACAACACAGAAACATACACATGGCATATATAACTACAGAAAAGCATTCGCCAGTGTTCCACATAGTTGGCTGCTACATATTCTACACATGTACAAAATACATCCATCACTCATTGCATTTTTCCATAACACTATGCAGCACTGGAGAACAACACTATATCTCAAGGTTAGTAACACTTCCATACAAACAAACCAAATATTTACTAGGCGAGGAAGTTTTCAAGGAGATTCCTTGAGTCGTTTCTGGTTCCGCCTAGCCCTGAACCCATTATCCAACATGTTAAACAACACGCAATATGGCTACAATATCAGACATGAAAAAACAACACAGTATACGCTGTCACATCTCATGTACATGGACAACATAAAACTCTATGCATCCACACAAAAACAACTACAGCAGCTCCTACAAATCACGCATTTATACACCAAGGATGTACAAATGGATTTCGGCTTAAACCAATGCAAAACACTTAACATAGAAAAAGGAATCCTAAAGAAAGAAGATTTTGCACTTGAAAATGGAGACATTATTGAATCCATGGAAGATGGTGAATTCTACAAGTATTTAGGTTTCCAACAGGCCAAATTAACAGAACATACACAAATAAAGCAAAGATTAATTAAAGAATATCAAAGTAGGTTTCATGCTATTCTCAGAACACAGTTAAATGCAAAACACACATTTAAAGCAATAAACACATATGTCATCCCAATACTCACATACTCTTTTGAAGTTATACATTGGAATGAAGCTTATAATAGAAAATTGAAAGAAAGTATAGAAATTTAAAAAAATAAACATTGTATAAATAAAAACGTAGGTTTAAAAATTAACGATAATTGGTTAAAAATACTATAAAAATCTCTTTACAGAGAATTCGCTGAAAACCAGCATTAAATAGGAAAAATGATTATTTTTGATTTTTGCAAAACTTTACTCAAAATAGTAAAAATGAATTTTTAAAATTTATGATTAAAAATGATTTAAATCGTGAAAGCCTTGGCTCGCCATTTCAAAAGAACGCTTGATTATGCAAATCACCATAATAGTAGCATATGGGAAACTGATGGACATGCTGACAGCAGAGTAAAGAGATTCGCCAAAGTGAAGTTTAATTCCGTCAACTATCACTAGCATTAAATACGAACAAAAAAGTATTAGTCAAAAAGAAGTTCAGTTTTGTTGATTATATACCAAAGGTTATTAACACTAAAGAAGATAGAACTGTGCTACACGTCTATTCCAGTTTTTCCTTTACATTTTCGAAAGTCTCCTGGGAACGTATTTCATGAAATTTGAGTGATCTTCAAATTCAAAAAACCTGGTCGTGAAAGTCAAATGCTGTTATAAATATGTCTTGTGTATACCAACTAAAGTTAAGTCTTGGGCTTAGTATTTGAGGCAATCCAGTGTATATCGTATGGCTCCCGCTTGTGGTAAAATTCACCTAAGGATGGCATTTCTGTTTTTAAGTTGACTGAGGAGGAGCAAATAAGGCCCGAAACGTGTGTAAACGGGTATCAACGAAAAGTGAAATAAAGAAGTGAAGAGTGCCAAGTGATTGTTATTACGCTACATTGCGCTTATAGAACAAACAAAAAGAACGACACGGTTTCAAAATATGGCATAATAGTATTGTTATTATTATTAAGCGCAGAGTGCAAACGATTATAAGTTGAAAATTGAAATTTGGTACAAAGGGTACGTAATGAGTATGTACACAATGGAGTGATTTTCTGAAATTCCACTCTGGTGGGGAGAGAGAAAGAAAGATTACAATGAACTCAGATTTTACTATACTATTTTAGATGCGTTTTTTTGTGAAGAATCGAACATATTTTCAGACCCATCTAAAAACTTTCTAATTACTTTCATAAGAATGAAACCTAATTATTCTACCCGGTGAAGACGTCTCAGATTGGCTATAATCTAACAATCTTAACCTTAGCTGTCATTACCCTTTGTCCGAGCAACGTTAGGCTGATCTGCTAGTAAAATATATTTTATTTTATTTTTTTCTTGTTGGACATCTTACTTGCTTTTTAATTTTAGAAGATTTTTCTGTAGTTTCTGTAGCTATAGATTTTATGTCAAGCTTTCTCTTCTTTTTTCTATTGAGGCTTTGATTGCATTGCATATCAGGCTTACCATTAATGGAAAAAATTTATATTGTTACGATTATAACATGAATTACCAAAGTTACACTCCATGTCGAAAAAAAGAAATCCGATTTAATTCATTAGGAGTACTGTATAGTGTGGCAATAATTAAAATGTTTCTATTTAGAACTATATAGCTGTAACCAATAAGAGAACTGACATAGTCGGTATAAGAGTATTGGATTGATATACCGACTATGCAAATATGTGGAATAGAGCTCTGAAAAATATTTACGTAAGGAATGTTTTTAAATATGTGCCCCCGTTTTTGAATAGAGTTATTTTCATGATTCCTACAAAAAAAGTACCTATTAACGCATGCATAACTTGTAGCTCTCACGCGGCATATTCCCTTAGCCATATTCAAGACTTCCAGTGGCATAGATGCTTTCAGACTTGAAGATTGCCAAGACGACAAAGAAAAAGATTGCCTTTGACGACCATTTGTCTAACTCAGACGAATTTGGTTCTGGTTGATTTTGCTTTGTCACCAAAGATACAGATAGACTCGAAGAGAAAACACAATAGCTTTAGAATATAAAGTTTATCATTATAGGTATCCTACTCGCAATGGATTTCTGAAAACGTTTGACTAGTCGCATGATTGCTACAAAAATGTATGAATTCTGGATGGGCACATGGTAAAAAAAATAAAATTGCATTTAAATTTGAGTGTTTGCTTTTTCATTAGAAAAGTCTAGTTGATGTGAAACGACATGGTGTATACTTAAAAGTTTGAGTATACACCATACAAATAATTAATCTTTCAACAGTGGGTTAGTCATGTATAGTGCTATCCCTACGTGGTGGAGAATAAACGTACGAAATTTTTAAAGGATTTTTCCGGACGTTTTTCTCATTACCGTTTCGGAATAAATTTTTAAACAGTTATGTCCAGTAAAGTAAAATGTTATTTATTGTCACATAATTCATTTTTTATGTGAATTTTTTTTCGCGATAGTTTTTGGCGATATCCGCAAATTGTTTTTGCGGATATTACCAAAAACAACTGGTAAACCACAGATATATCCGTCGTTTAGCAGTGCACACAATCGTCCTTCATGGATATATCTGTCGATCACTGCAGAATGGTTAATTTATCAATATAAAAGCGAATAATTAATTTTGTGTTCCGTAATAATTCGGAAATTACAAAATTATGTTCGTATCAACGTACGTGTTCTTATTACGTTCGTATCAATTGTATATCTGTTAGCTGTACCAAATGTACTTACCCGTAACGGATCTACTGTTAATGTAAGATTTTCTTGTATCTGAGTTTCATACTTAAATTTGTACAGATGAGTTTCGCAGATGTCATGTTCGGAACACTAAAAGAAATTCATAAATGTTAAAAAAAAAAGATAGAAATTAATTAGCAACTTACAATTTTTAACATTTTCTTTCCAACTTCAACAGTTGAGGTTTTGTTAATTGTTATAGAAATAGGATGCTGTTCAGACCAAAGCGATGGCAAATAAAACATTTTGATTCTCGCAGTTTCGTTGTTTTCGTTGTTTCTATTCTCCACGCACTTTATCTGTGTGGGGATTCCTCTTTCGTTCAGTTTTAGCAGAATATCGCCTAGTAATATGTAGTTAAAAAATAAATTACACTGAATAATATGAGATAAAATATTCGTGAAATGAATCTAATTTTATGAGGATTTGTTCACTAAAAATATGTAATACGAACAGTTTGTTGTAGTTATATTTAGACTTTCATAGCATGGATATGTTGAAATTACAGTGAAATATGTCTTTGTGGGAATCCTGTGGGTAAGAATTGCTTTTCTTAAGTGTTATGACACATCTGTAAAATTTGTCTGCAGAGTCGCTAGGATGATTTTAGCAGTATAAAATTTAGGTACAGGAAGTTCTTATGATCTTCCTGTTGGTTGTTCCTGACACCTGTCTAATTAGAGTGTTAGGCACGCTAATGAATAAATTAATAAACTTTTCCGAGAGGAAAGGATCGTAGATCCGTGATAAGACTTCGGCGTAGAGTTAAGTTCTAGTACGAGATTATTTAATCAAACAGAACAAAATTTATTTATAACAAAATAAAATAAAAATATAGATATATAAGGAAATTTTAAATCCTTATCTATTCACGTAAGAGAGACAGTATACATCAAGTAAAACATACTACCTCGACTGAAGTTTTTGAAGTGTCGTTCTGTAGATCGATGTACGTCGATGTTCGGAGAGGAGGCAAATGAGTAAAAGAACTATTGAGCACACAATTTAATTCCTTTTCCGAGTAACTCTGGGATTGGAGGTTTTTGAGACTTTGGGATTTAAAATTTTTGATAAAACTCCTCGAATCGGGGAAAATCGCCCTTTACGTCAAAAATTTTGACCGATAGAAATCCTGCATTCATATTCGCTAATGGAATGTGCAGAGGGTTAAATATCCAGAGAATTGTGAAAATTGGAGATAAGGGCTTGTGAAAGAAAATTTCGATGTCCTCTTTTTGCCAAAAGTGACAAATGTCATTTCTGTTAATGTAAGCCATATGTAGAAGATATACGTTTATTTTCTCAGAATAATTAAATAACGATTTGGCGAGAGAAATAATTTTACTTCATAAGAAAGTAATATTTATTCGTTCTCTTCATTGAAAGATGAAAGAAATGATTTAGAATCTTTTCTCTAGAAAACGTCTCTGATCTAGATTAGGTTGTTTACAAGATCTATTTATTAAACTCCATATTTAATCATATTAATTGTTTGATAACCGTTCAGATTCTTAACTTTTTATCCAAAGTCAGATACTTTACAAATGCGATAAATGTGAGTAATTTCGTGATATCTAATTTTTATTAAATAAATGATGTAAGACGATATTTGAAATTTCCTAGATATGCCGAATATGTTAAATTTAAAAATTTTCTTTGGTTATAGTAAACTGTTATTTTTACTTTCCTGGCTATTATGTATACGTAACAAGGTAGAGTATGAAAATTGTTTGATTGTTTGCATATCTCCATTTTTTTGCTCCCTTAATCCGAAAAAGTCTATGAAACGACAAAAAATTGCGTGGATATGTATGTATGTTTTTATATTGGCGTCTGTTTCGCTAAATATCATAACATGGGGTAGAGAATAAGAAACGAATTTTTACTTGTTGCGTCACATTTGAGATGCGTTAATGCTATTAAATTTTGGTGGTAAAGAAATAGACAAAGGTGATAATGAAGTTTTTATTCGTTATAAACATTTAGGGGAGACCGGGGCAAGATCGGCATGTTAAGCTTTACTTAAATTTTGTGTAATAAATACTGCTGTAAACTGAAAAAAAAGTTTCGCATATTGTCTATTGGAATGTTTTCTTACTATAGAACTGGTTAAAATCAGTTTGGAAATAAAAATAATTAAAATAATTACAACTTTACAAGAAGAGAGAAATTGACGAAGTTGCCCCGGGTATAGGGGCAAGATCGGCAACTTCTCTCTTTTTGTAAAGTTGTAATTATTTTAATTATTTTTATTAAAGTTGCCCCTGGTATAGGGGCAACAGTAATGGGGCAAGATAGGCACGTATATAAAATTATGTTATTAACAATGTATAAGTTGGAATTCACTATTAAAACAAAGAAATACAAATCCAACACCCATTTAATATTATTACAACGAAATGCAAGTTCAAAGACATATATACATGAATAACAAATGCAAACATGTTTTCATTTATCATCTGTTTGATTTTTATCCTTTGCTTCTAATGTGGCTTTATGTTGCCGATCTTACCCCGCTAGTCATGATTTCGAAACATTAAGTACAACCCTGAGAACAGAATGCCAAGCCACGATCTGGCCACGTGAATAAGTTGAAGTTACATCCTTCTAACAGGAAAAGTAACTTTCGTTATCATGGAATTATAACAAAACCTGCCAATTCAATATAAATGGAAAAAATATTATATGGAATTGAACGAAAATGAAAATTTGCTTAATAATTCAACTACGCTTGTTGGAAAACAATAAAAACACAACACTCAACAAGCCACCTATAAAACTCAACTGCCTAACCTATAACCAAAGTCTTTTTTAAATTTCTTTTTAAAAAAAAGCGCTTGACAAACTTACCCCGCATGCCGAAGTTGCCCCGGTCTCCCCTATATTTTTCATAAAACTCATTACTAACCTTAAATTAAGCATTTTTCCATTTTTATTATCATTAAAATAAAATATCTTTTAATAACAAAATATCATAACAGATACCACCACACACAATTTTACTTTTTCCTTAATAATATTAAAGTTATTTTTAATGAAAATTCATAACAGTTGGAAAAGTTACGCAACTCGTTGTTAGATATTTAATTGTTAGCAGAAATATTTTTATTATAACACGAATAAAATTGTTAATTTTAATAAATGTTGGTTAAAATGTTATAAATATTAGTTAAAATTTGAAATACAACTGATCTGAATTTAAAAAAAAAAATGTTGATGATAAGTGAATTATTCTTTGATATTTCAATAAACTAATAAATGGAAATACAGTAGAGCGTCGTTTATCCGAAAGTCGGTTATCCGAAACGTCGGTTATCCGAAAGAATTCCAGTCAGCAAATTTAAATTTTCGCTAGTGCTGTGGCACTGCAATCTTTAGCAATATCTTGGGCTACTCCAATATTTTTTATGTTTGTGTATGTGTTTTAGCGGGCAGCACTGTCACTTTTGTATGGTGTTTCTCTGAAAAATGTGTCATGCTGAATCAAACGTTTTTGATACTAGATAACTTCTAAAGTATAAACTTTTTTTGTTTTTATATTTTTTAATATATTTATTTTGTTTGTAAAAATAAAGAAATAATTTTTATCGATACAATGGCAACGATTATTATTTTAAAAAGTTTACATTAGGCTTAACATCGACGAAAATACAACGCGAAGCGACACGCAACGGAGTAAAATAGGTTAATGTACTTTTTCGGGATAGGTTAATGTATTTTTTCGTACATAATCGGTTATCCGAAAAACAAGTTATCCGAACAACCCCAGTCTCCAATTGATTCGGATAAACGACGCTCTACACTTCAAATTTCTAAAGCTATTTGAACAACATTCTTAGCTTTAGATGTGAAATTTTAGACACATCAAACACAATGACTACTCAATAACGAATTATTGGCAATTAGAGAAGTGAAATAATAATAATAGTTTAGATAATATTATTTGGATATATTCTGAGTATCTTTAGGTTCAAAAGCTGGTATTCTGAGTTGTCATCGAACTGTTATCAATATAAAAAACATACTTTTAACGCCGCAAGTTAGCGAGTGAAAGAAGAAAGTGTATTAATATACAAGGAATCTAAAATATGTGGGATCAAAATTTTATCCAAAATGTTTCAAAAACGAAGTTTTGTTACATAGTTTTGGTGGATTTCTGAGTAGTATGATCGGAGATCCAATTTTCAGTCGAAGGCAGTGTAATGGCATTCCTAGTACTTGGAAAAAGTTTAAAAATTCTGCAGGGAAGTTGAAGAAAGTGTTTTCTTTAACGTTTACCATCGTATCAATCCATTTGTATATTCTCTCCTCACCGGGAATTTTTTTTTGAATATTAAAGTTGATATCGTCGACAACATTATTTTTAGTTTCCAAAATTGCCCTTTGAAATAGCCACTCTGGATTGGTATAGTTGTGAACAATGTTTGGATAACTTTGGTCGATGAGTTCGTTTTCAGTAGTGGCTATGTTGCAAAAGTCACTGTAGAGTTCAATGAGGACTGTCGTCTGGTATGTGGGATACGTACCTTCGCCTATTTGTAAACGTTTTTGAGAAAAATGTAGTGTTGTTTCGTCTTTCGAGAGTTCAACTCTCACATTTTTTGTTAATTGCAGTATTTCTATGTGTGGCAAGAGATGTGATTTTTTAAGCATGCATTGATCTCGTCTGCTAATGTTAAATTGGGGATAACTAAAAGTGTTTGTCGAAAATCTCCTAAGAGTATGAGCAGAGCTCCTCACATCACTTTAGAGTTTCCTGGCAAGTCCTCTAATGATCTGTCCATGGCTTCGAGTGATTTTTATGTGCCATTGTGCATTCGTTCCAGAGTGCACAATAGAATTTTCCACAACATTCGAGAGTTTATATTCAGTCACTATATCACTTTAACTACTCAAATTTCACTGTTTTTATTCACTCACTGCACTACTTTGGAATTTTCACTTTTTTTTCGGTTCTTCCCTTTGTCACTGATAAGAACGTTCGAACCCACGACGGATCTTGCTTTATATACTGCTACGAATGGGTAGTTTAACCCATACAAAAAAGGTTTCGAATGGCCCACAATGTTCCAGAACATTCCACAACATTCGAGAGTGTTCTGGAATGTTCCAGAATGATCTGGGATGTTCCAGGATGTTCCCGGACATTTCAGAACGTCCCGGAACATTCTGCGATGTTGTGAAATGCACTCGAACACTCTTGAATGTTCTGGACGGTTTTAGAAATTTTTAGAGGGCGAAACTTCCAGCCCTTATATCTTCAACAGCACGCCCTTCAGGTAAAAACGAGAACCTACTTTATTGATGGGAAATAGAGGGCTACTACAACATATAACTTCCTTCATCGTACCGGAATTCGTTTTTGAGTTTTAGCGGCAGGCACATTGTACACTTACCTTTATTATATGTATTGATTTAGGAATGTTTACCCTATTTACGTTTTTAACACCGTGGGATCAATCTGATCTTTCGCAAATAAATAGCAATTATTGCGTAAATATTGATATAACTTACATTAATATTGCATTTTATCAGTTACAAGTATTTATAACCATAAAATTTATTGTTCATCGATAATTGATAAAGTTATTTCATGACAAAATTGTGAAAATTTACGATGAATTTTGAAATTTTAAGATGCTTTTGTTTCATCTGTTAAAATATTTCACAGAGAAAACATTTTTCGCTCTAAATGATCCCGTGACTCTTACAGATGAGTTAATTCTCACAACTCTTATCTGCAACCGTTACAAACGATTTTATTGTCATTATCGCAAATGTAGTTATTTTGCTCGTTACAATGACCACTTATTTTACAGTTTTTATTTTAAAGTAAAATAAAAATGATCGATGCATATCTGACAATTCATAATAATATAAGAATCTATTTATCAAATGAAATAATTCTACAATAGTAAAACACTAATAAGTCATAACGGAACTAAAAGGCTGGCAAGTGCTTTTGCTCAAGAGTTCTGGCACTCGAACAAGAAGACTAGGTTGACCATTAACAAGTTCCGAAAATATAAAATACCCTATGACCTAAACTTTAAATAATAACAAATGCTTAAATTTTGTTGAATTATTATAAAAATCGTCATGTAAAAATATTTAGTATTAAAAAACAGTGACAGTAGTTCAAATTTAAAATTGTGTGAGGTGCCATCTATTAAAACATTTTATTAAAAAATAACTTTTATATTACTAATTAAAAATGTGTAAGGATAGATATGAGCTTTTAAAAATATTGTAAATATCAATACGGAGTGAAAAATTTTTTCGAGATATGACAAATGACTCCTGTACTCCGTAGTCCTTTGAGTTCTACCCTCTAAAACTTAGTAGATCAACGACTCTTATATAAGAAACTTACCGTGATAAATTTCGTTTCTTAATCGTTATCCCATTCTGAAATTAAACAAATTATACAGCAAAGTACGCAATCATCAAAAGTTTTTTTTTTTTAATTTTAGAGGCCAGAAGATCTCAAAACGTTCATATTCGCTAAAACCCAGAGAATCAAATTCGACACGTGTACTTTCTTTCCAGTGTCGTTACAAAAGCCAGGAAAGTAAAACACAACGAGCATTTATTTATTGTGACAGACACCGTCACAATTTGAGACTAGAAATTTTAATTATATTATTTATTTATTTAAATGAATATACAGCTCATATTCGTAACTTAATATTCAGCTCTTTACCTCAGATTAGTAGTCTTTACATCATATCTCATTACTCAGATAGTGCATCTTTACATCATACTTTCTCTTTAACAATATAGTAATGCCGGTCATCTATCTAACACCTCTCAGAAAAAGTTATGAATTGAAATAACATGACTTGCAATTTTAATCGAAAGTTTTTCTATAGTTAATCTGGGCGGTCAGTCTGTAAGAGTTTCCTATATTTATTCTCGTCTTTTTTTCATCGAACTCAGTTGTTCAGATGAGAACAGAAAGAAAACAGTTATAATTTATATAAGTGAAACTTTTTATAATTGCAGCCGGATAAAAATAAACTAAATTTAATGAATCAAATTTAGTTATATCAATATTTATTTTTAAATTAAATTGAATTTTGATTTAAAAAAATTATGATAACTTAGTTATATAGATACTTACTCATTGTTGTTTCTTTACAAATAAGTGTGATAGCAACATAAGATAATACGATATACATTCTTCTCTCAGCAGAATGTCCTAATAAAAGCAGAAAAAAAATTAAACAGTTTATTTTTCAACTAGCAGATAAGCCCGGCGTTGCTTGGGCAAAAAATAACGATAGCGAAGATTAAGATTATTACATTACAGCCAATCTTACCCGTTTCCACAGAATGCAAAAATTAGGTCTACCTGTTTCTTGACTAATTAGAAAATATTTAGATGGGTCTAAAAATATGTTCGATATCTCACAAAAACGCAAAAACGACTCTACGCCTGTAAATTTTGCACGTTGCTTTCTCTTAACATTTCCATTGTTAACACTTTTATTATTGACACTTCCATTGTTACTTAACACTTTCATTGTTGAAAACTTAATCCTCTCCCTCTACTTCGTAGGAAGCATTTCGAAAAATTTTTTTCTTAGTGTGCGTCACGAGAACGCACACTAAGAAAATTTTCAATTATTATTCCCTAAATATAACAATGAAACTTTGTTCTTTCACATATATTCATTATACCTCGATATAGCTTTTACGTAATAGTAACGTGTAATAACAACTTCAAAATTACTTATTCTGTTTGTCCGAACCCTAATAAATAATTATATCGGATATCGTTATATGGAGGATAAATCGTATGCTACATTTTCATATAAAAGGATACGTATTAAATATTCTTTGCCTAATTTTAAATCAGTTATTTTCATTTACAGCTTTACTATAATGCTGAAACTTGCATAAAGTGTTAATATTATATAACAACGAATTGGAAGAAATTTACATGGAAAATTGATTTTCATTTAGTGGTAACGATGTCTTGGAAATTTATATGAAGTCTCTTATTAAAAAATTACGCAAAAAATTTCCATTCAAATCTCAATTATTTACTCTTATTCTTTGTATATTGTTAGTTTATTTTTGTTCAATCCAACCTGGACAATTGTAATATAAACTGAATTCTATAATGTTAAGGACATTATTTAATATAATAGTATTAGATTTATTAATGGCTAGATCTTCCATCCAATGTAATTGTTCACTTGCAGCTGGTATATTTAAATTTTTCCTAATTTGTTTAGTATTTCCTCAGCATGTATACAATCAATCACATATTTATTATGACATAGTCACAATGCTGGGCAGCAAATTTTAATCATATCTCTATTTTTATCTAAGTTAAAATATAAGTTCTCCACTTCAAATTATTAGTTGTTTGCATCTGTACATCATACTTTACTTTTAACAATAGAGTCGTGCCAATCATCTATCTAACAACCGGGGTAAAATTTTTAAATCAAATGACATGATTTCCAGTTTGCATCCGAAGTTTGTATACAGGTAATCAGGAGCTTCTTCCCCTTTCTATGTCATATCTTATTTTGTCTTTCACGCACCTTTCTTTCTTATGGAGATTAAAAAACGACAGTAACAATTTCTGTCTAGCGAGTAAACTACAGATAAATTAAGTAGTAAAATAGAGAAAGTATAAAAGCAATGGATAGCCAAAGTAATTAACCCGTTGCGTACAAAGAAAGTTTTGATATTAATGTAATTAAACATAAAACATATGTAAAACTGAAAAAAGGAAAGAAATGCATTAATTTTGAACAAATAGCTTCAAATTTTATTTTCCTTTGTCTCGCCTTTCTGTGAAATCTGACCCTGATGAGTCATTGTTTACACAGCTGGATGACCTTGAACACAACTGGTGTTGGATTTCCTGGGTCATTCTCATAGAAGTCTCAAGAGGCGATGGGTTTATAGTAGGGTGAATACTAGCTGGCCGTAAATTTTTACATATTTTTAAAAAATTAAAATTTTTATTGCGATTTTTGACCCCCGACTTAATTAAACTTATACATAATAAAATCCATTAATTAAAAAAATTTAAAAACAATCGGAGGTCGTTTTTGACATCAGAAAGTAGCTTTAAATAACTTTACCGAAGGAAAATCCGTGCACTACAGCTTTAGAACGATAAATGAAATTTGATATCAAACTCCCATTAAAAACAATTAAAAAGCAATAAAGCGTGAATCGTGCGTAATTAAATGTAAATTAAAATCGCGATAAAATTTTTTCGCGCGGGAAAAAAATTTTGAAAAAATTTGAAGACTTAAAAAACATTCCAAAAATAAAAAAAAACAAAAATTTTTAGGAGATCAAAACGCCCGAGTTTTATGTACGCTATAGAACTTGCATGAGATATCTTGGGATATGTCCTAAAGGTACTCATAGGAAAACTAGATACAAATTTAGGATTAAAAATAGAAATTAAGGACTCAAGAACTTTGAAGAATAAAAACGGGCATAAAAATTCACAATTTCTACATTTTTTCCAATATAGAAAACAGACAACACAACGCAGAATGTTCGTGGGTCGTACTATCTTTCAAAGGGAAAAATGCCATTAAAAAAAATCAAAAAGATAACAGGTAAGGACACGACGCCGAGAGTAAACACGTTAAAGTAAGCCGAGTATTAAAATTGCAAGTTCGAAATGTTTCTTATGGGCAAAGAAATGGAAGGAATAGAAAAAGATACATCTGTTACAGAATAAAAAAATAAAGTCGATATACTACGTCAAGTCGACCTTTAAAAACAGATGGAAAGTTTGAACTCATACTGCTTTTCAAAATCAATGGAACACTGACAAATTTATCGACCAATACAAAACCACAATTAATTCAAAAATCTCTTCCTGAATGGAGTTGCATAGGTGACTGGCATGGCTCTGTTGTTATTAGAAAAAGCATAATGGGCAGGAGCAAAGCACTACTGATTTAAAAAAATATATATTTCAAATGAAATGAATTAAGAATATCACTTAAAATTTCATTCCAGCATTACAACGGTGTTACAACAAACAATCGCTCGTTTCTTATATAATTCAATGTAAACAATTATAAGGAATAATTTTATACTTACAAATTATTTTATCTTTTGAAACTAAATATAAAGTAGTTGTTTAACGACCTGAAATCTGGTAACTTCTATGATGAAGCGAAGCAGAAATAGAAACTACGTAAAGTGAAAAAAAAACAGATGAAGTAATTATATGTTACAGCTCACTAACAAGTGAAAATTTATGGGTACTTTCAATTAGTGTTTTTAATTGGATATCTGTTGCATGTCATTTGCAATTAGAATAATAACGAGGTTCATTAGTAGTTGCTTAATGACTTGAAATTTTTTTCATACGTTCGATAATAAATCTTTCTTAAACCATCTTTAATCATATGGATTAAAGGCAAGTCATCAGCTTTGTGGTGCTTCAGAGCCACAGTGTTCTGCTAAAATGTGAAAATATTTGTATCGAATCAAGAACTGTGACTACATATTTATTTTATGCATTTTTTTTCTACTAACGAGCAAAGTAGAAAAAGTATTTTTTTACATTAATTTTAATGTTATTTGATGTGAAAACTAAAAAATAACTGTATCAAATTTTAATACTCTAAAAATTATCTCGAATTACGTCAATTCACATTTATTCGTTTGAAATTTAAAAGAAACACGCTATGTTCGGGTTGAGATGGTTAATTACTGTTACAGTAGTGACTAACTATACTTGGCCCCACTCTTCGAGTAAATGTGAATATACTTGTAATTTTTTATGACTCTAACCAAAGCTCTATTTTTCATTAAAACTGGATGAAATATAATACTTATTATTTTATTATACTTGAAATTTTCTGTTTAACTTTGAACCGAAAGGTTTTTCAAAAGTGATTTCCATAATTTTTTTCAGTATATTTTTTGCGTTGACTACCAAAAATTCTATAATTATTGCTATGTTGTTGAATATGTAAAGTTTTATAACTTAAAAAAAATCCTAATAATATTGCTAAATAAAGGCATGCGTCAAAACTACTATATTAACATGATATGTAATATATAGAAAATTTATTTGTTACAAAATTCGGAGTATCAATTTTTACGTATGTTTGTAGCTATAATATCACAGCATAAAAATTTTGTTGTAAAAAAAGAACCCATTGGCCATTTGAGAGAAATTGACATGGGTCCGGACATTAAAAAGTGTAAATATAAAAAACAGTATTGTTGTAAAGATTGATTCTTTGTACGTTAATGGTTTGATGAATTGTAGTATTTACGTGTGATGCTTCGTAGTACAGCATTATCACGATTTGTTTACATTTATAACAGAACAATAATCATGTCGTGTTTGTGGGAGGCCAGCATTTTTTCTGTTAAAATGTAGCCATACAATGGAAACTGTATGCATTTTGTATTGTGGCGCTTCAAAAGTTAAGAAAGTATCTAGTTTTTCAAAGTTTTTGAAAAATTCAGTAAAATCGGCTTTTGTAACAAAGACACATGGAGTCTCAGGGACACCATTGATTTTTCTGAAATTGTAAAGAAATCGTTATCCGATGAAAAACTATGATTATATCTTAAATATTTGCGTTCGTTCTACTTTCAACCAATGTAAAATGTATGTGAATCAACAATAGTGAGTTATTTAAAGTTATTTTTTCGTAATTTGATTTAGAAATACAAAATATAAACATATATTTCAAATAGTTATAGATTATCTCAACTTTTACCAATTGACATCTGCTTTGCATGAAACTCGAAATTATGGTGTTGTCTTTCAAGGCAATGACTGCAAAACTTCTCTTAGTCTTCCTCAAAAATAATAAAACTGGCCGCACCCCAACTACCAAAGTTAATAAACTGACAATTCTTTTATTTCTTTCTAAAAACAATTCCTTTTAAACTTAGAAGTTAGTCAAATAACAAAATAATTTTTTTCTTTATCATTTGACATTTATTGTTACCAAAAGTAAATTTTATAATTTTATTATTATTTTTGTGAAAATTCTTTAGATTTAGTTTCTCAATAAGCAGTCAGTCAATGCAAGTTTATATACAGCGGAATTAAGGTAACTTCCTATTTACATTCAATTCCAGTTACTGGGAACAAACTGGGTAAGCAAATTTAGAAGTTTCTCATAGAAAGTAGTTCCTAGACACATTTCTAAATCAGGCGCCATC